TCATTCTGGCCCGCGGTTGTGCGTTTTCTTGTGCTCATTCTGACCCGAGGTTGTGCGTTTTCTTGTGCTCATTCTGGCCCGCGCGTGCCTTGTGTGTTGTGTAGTGACGCGAGTCTGGACAGCCTTGCTTGGCGCAGAAGCTGCGGGCCTCAGATTCTGCCGAGGTGCAGAATATATATATATAATTATTGGGCAAAGACATGTGTTCCCCATTGTGCCCATGCTGTCACCTCTTGGCCTCAAGCGCCGAACTCCCAAGATATCACAAATCATTGTCTTACAGTGGCTGCACAAGCACCACCGGCACCTAGCACATTCCTTTTCCGCATTCCCTGCTGCGTTGCATGGCCTTGTCCTCGCCGGCTTGAGTTTGGGATTTGTTTAAATACGCACCCGAGGCGGTCTTTCTCTTTGACACCCTTTCAGCGATTGTTGTGTGGTCCTGGCCTGGTACATATCGTTTGCAGGGATGGGGGGTTGAAACCCAGAACCTGGATCATAAATTACACATCGGCTGCGAAGCCATCTGAATCGAAACATTTGGGGTGAAATTCGGCACTTTCAGCCATAGTGTAACTTGTTCACCGCTGGCGCGAGAATTGGCAGAGATATTGTCTGCGGAGCCATATTGGTAAGTGTCACCATTTTGTGACCAACAGAGGGATCGAGTACCTGAATGAAATGCGACTCAGGCACTGTGTAGCCTTGGGGACAACCTGTGTTCCCGACACCGCCAGCTAGATGTTTGATCATTTATCCCAGCTCACCGCTCACCCCAAGAAAGTACACTTCCAGGCCACCCCTATATATGAGTTAGCGTCAAAAATATATGCTTGGAGTGTTTTCGTTTCACTTTTGTCAGTCCCCCATCGTTTTCCATGGTTTTGGATTTTGCAAGTATGTATACATAGTTCTTTTGAAATCATATTGAATATATATATATATATATGATGCATGCTCCCATCTCCTCGCGAAAGGCTTGCAGCTGCCAATCGATGCTCTCCAAGGCCTGCAGCTTTGGTCAGAACATGGGAGGAGCCGGGTGCTGAGACTTACACCCTCAACGTTGGTTTCAAGCTCCCTCGTGCTCGGCTCTCTTTGACCTGCAGAACGCTTCTTTTGCTCAGGCCCTCAGCCACTGCTGAACAGCTTCTTGGAGATCCTCTAAGCGCACCGCAGGCCCCACCAGGGTGGGCTCGTACAGCACCACCCGGTAGAAAGCGAATGCGGCACCAGCTCCACCATACCACATGCTTTTGTAGGGTGGGAACTGGCCGGGTACTCCGATTTGAGCTTCCGGGCTGCCAACCAACTCGATGATTCCGGTGCCATTCTGTGCCAACAGCATATTGGCCAGTGCTCCACCATGCTCTCCGATAATGAGCCTGGCTTGCCGCACCTTCCGCACTTGCTCAAGGAAGTCTTCGCGGCCAGGGCAAAAGGTGAGCAACTGGAAGTCGGACTTTGCCTCCACCAGGACTCTGGTCACGGCCCCTACAGCCTCCGGCTCGTTGGCCAACTGGGACGCTCACTGCATCGCTGCACAAACACCACGGAGTCAGGCCTTGATTCTGTGAAACCGGCATATCTGGCTATGGCATCTGAAACTTCGGGACCCAGCCGGTAGCCTGGCAAGCGCCACCAAAAATCGGCATAAATGCGGGGATCGGTTCGCTCCAGAAAAGGCGGGTCAGCACCATCCACCCGCCCTGTGCGGCATAGAGTCATGGTCCGGCCAGGTTTGACACAAAGCAGCTTGTGTGCTTCCAAGCTTGTGATGGGAATATCCAGAAGCTGCTCTGATGGAATGCCCATGCTCTGCAGCAGTTGGCCTTGAATGGGAGAGTAGATCACCAGCTTCATGTTGGAACCCCTCAAAAGCGGCAGCACAGTCCAAGCTTGTGCCAAAAGGTCGGTGAGGGCATGCTGGTACTCCATTCCTGGAATTGTGCGCGTGCTTGGGAGCACGAGGATGTCTTCGTCCACCATCTCCACAGACAACTCCTGCCATGCTGGATCATCCGGACAGCTTCCAGAGCAATGTCTGTATGCATCATACCTGTGAGTACCATTCGTGGCCATGACCACCGTCGGCTTCGCGCTGAAACTAATGCAGCCATTCTCCAGAGCGGCAACGTCAGCAGTTAAGGCCACGTCCGGGTCGGTGATGAAATAATCTGGAGCCACGTGGCAGGCGTAGTGTCGGTAGGCCTCAAGCACTGAGAGGTTCTGGGACACCAAAGCTGGAAACCGACGTCCGATGTTGGCGCACTTGGAATCCAAACCACGTTGCCATCGTGGTGGAAAGTGCCGCAAAGTACTCCACTGCAAGGCCGTGGAAAGAACTGTTGAGCGAAGCTGCTCTTGAAAGAACTGGAGCGTCTGCGACACGGGAGAGTCTGCGTCCACTTTGAGAGCAAGTTGCAGAAAGAAGTCGGAGGTAGGTTCGACACAAGTCTCAGAACTCACTCGGAAGATCAGTGTCGCCAGGATCCCCAAAACCGAAACAAAATCCATGGCAAGCTTATGGCACGGCATCACACTTGAGCCACGATATGGCTGATGCACATGTGGCCAAAGCATGCCAAAGCCTTCAGCCAAATCTTAAGCGCCAAATGAATTGAAGTTGGCCCTCATATAACCTCCGCAACCTACCGAAGATTCAGAAGCTTCAATGAATTGCTTCCCTTTCATGCGCCTGCAGCTTCTCCTCCGCTGCTGTCATGCCCGCACTAAAATTATTCGGCTAACTTCCGGCATGTTCTAAGCCTCTGGCAGTGTCAAGCCCGGGATCCGAAACGCTGGCCGGCACAGAGTTCGATTAAAGCACCTGTGACATGTCCCGACAACTACGGTGCACCCACCTTACAGATGGGCAACAACTGCCGCACTTCCTGTGTATGGCTGTCAAACAGTTCAGTTGCTCTGGCTTTCTATTCTCCGCACAGGTCTCATGTCCATCGTTGCAAATTGCAAGGTGGAACATTGAGCTCTTTCGAGACACACTCTGATCGTCACTGGCCTAGGCATGCCTAGGCCGGGGCACTACAACTCCATGCTTCATGCAGAATGCCTCTTGCGTCGCGCCTGTCAAACACTGGCCGCAAAATCTCAGGCTGTGATATGCGATGTCGCATCTTCACGCCTTTACATTCTGGCATCAGCCAAGTGGCACGTTCGCCCACAACAACAGTCCTACCTGTTCTTGTGAGCTCGTCTCTGGCCGTCAGAAAATCCGAGCACCATGTCACGCCACTCCTTCGACGTGGAACTGAAGAATGGCGAAGCAGCTGCGCTAAGACCCCATGAGGGCTCCACAAAGCAGCAAACTGGCTGCCGCATCGTGTCCTGCCTCTGTGGCATACCAGAAAGGTGCGCAACCATAGCCATCCGGAGCATTCGGGTCACATCCATTGCGGAGAAGATACTGCAGAATAGGAGCTTGCTCATCTGAGTCCTGGTTGGCCAGTGTATAGCATAGAATGGGCAACTCCTGCCAAGTGCGTCTATGATGTGTACGGCCATGGGGGAGTGTTCCGCGAACAGCTCCATAGTGCCAAAGTCTATATACACTATGCAGTGTGTGGGGTAAGAGGGAGGTTCTGCCAAAGTACACTTAGGAGAGCCCAAGGAAAGCATCAAACCGAGCTCTGAGATGTGCAACCTTTCGAAACATGAGCCAGAAAGACTATTGGGTGGATCAATCTAAAGTACAGTTCATTTGTGCACTTGGATAAGACAGCACCTACTGTAATAGCAGCCTACAGTCCTCTTTTGATCGACTGCCTCAAAGCCTCCTTGAGAGACATCTCGGGGCTACTCTACAAGTGAAACTGAGCTCTGCATGCCTCTTGGAGGCATTGGAGGGCAACAACCTGAAAGCACCTCTTGAATGAATGCCTGACTGTGTTGTATAGTCAGCTAGATGCAGTTCGTGACTTTCATCAGCCGAGTGCACTGGCATATCCAGCTGCTTTCATGGCTTCTCAGCAACTGACACATCACAAACAAAGCCGCCGCCAGGAGCTCGACGGTAAGCACTACCTCAACAGGCTAAGAGTGCTCGAGTCCATCGAGCAGTCAAAGCACGTCCCCGAACAGGCCCGCCCTGGCCGCCCTGGCCTGTGCCAAGGAAAGGGTTGTCGTGCCTTGGCTGGCCGTGCTAAACGCCACATGAAACAACACATTCAGCCACGCGGCTCATACCTGCCATTCAGGAGCGGCAGGCTGTCCGCTCGAAGCATTTCCTGCACGAGAAGTGGGGCACCATAAGGATCAAACATCGAGGCATTGAGGCTGCAAGTCTTGATTTCTGGAATGCATTTGTCGCTGCTCCGGAAACGTAGCGCTTCAGCTTGCCATCACGATAGATTCGCACCTTTTCTGAAGCAATAGCTTTTTCTGAGGCAGACTGCACCACAGCAGCTGATACCTGCAAAACGACAGAGCAACTAAAAAATAAATAAGGACTGAGGTTGTGTTGATACCTTGAATAAAAATGCACATATATTTAAAAAAAAAAAAATATATATATATATACATATACTAGTCCTATAGCGTTATCTTTCTGACGTCGGGTACCAGAAATGTCCCGAAATCCTCTGCTTCATCTGTAACTTGAGAGATGGAGGGATGTATTTGCGAGAGCTGCATTGAATATTGAGTTGATTCAAAAACTCGAGCATTGTCACGCCAAAACGAATCAACACGGCCATTGTTCATTCCTCGTTGAAGGAAAGCATGTTCATGGCTGGACTTTCAGATTCTAGAGCGCAACGGGGAAGAAACATCCCAAATGAAAAGCTGAAAGAAAGAAACACTGAACGCCCAACGTTCGTACGATTCATAGCATGAGTGCTGAAATGCCCGCCGTTGGACCAAGCTGGACACACATGATTCGCACCGCCTCGTCTGACTCGTCTGGAACTGCGGTTGGCCTCGTTTGGGGGCCACATGAGGCCACTGGCGTTATTGCAGCAAAATTGAATCTGGCCTTGTCCCTGAACCGGCCGTTTCAGCCTGCTCTGCATCAGTACCGATGTGAGCTTCCTGAACATCGAGAGAAAACATCCACCAAACCTGTTTCTCCGTGTGGGCCAATGATGACTTATGTAGCATTCCTAGCACAACACACTCAAGAAGAAAGGGCCTCAGAATAGAACCGATTCCCCCAAGATTACCCTCTGGCAGCTGTCCTGCTTTTTGCGTTGCCTTTTGCGCCGAGGCTTGCTTTGCACAAAGTGCACCTCTAGCGCCTCCTGCCCAGTCCAGCGGAGCAACTCTAGCCAGACCTTGGAGGGATCAGTGCCCAATTATCTGACTGCGCCTTCACAACCGAAAAGAATGTTATGAGAACGTGAATCTATGCCGCGAGCCCCAGCAGAAGAAAAGCGTAGCTCAGTCCTCCAGTCTAAACCGGACAATTTTTTGAAGTCCTGCAAGCAGAACAAACAACTGTGTGTCTCTGTTTTGGAATTTATTTGGACGTAATTCTCTTCATATACACCTGCATAAACGCAAGACTCATCACACAAAACTATCCTCGCGAGCTGAAAGGCAGTAGGCTCCCTTCACATCCAAGCTCTTAACCATTTGGCCAAAGCGCTTGTACGCACGCTGATCTTTTCGAGCTTCAGACTTTTTGCCATAAGGTACCTGAGCCATCTCTGACCAAGCCAAACATATCCAAACATGACAGCCGGATGGACTTGATTGTACTGAGTTCAGGTGAGAAAGGTTTAACACACTGAATGGTGATTTGCCTCAAAATGAAATGTTGCTGAACCTGGGCATCTGGAACATGAACACAGACTCGAGATAAAATAGAAAACCTGCAACAAAAAAATGTCACATTCTTGGCAAATTCACTATGTGCCTATTTGCCTTTGGTCTTCAATCTGCTGCCTTATGTGCCCCTAGCCCTGCTCCACCCCCAATCACTTCAGGCTTCGGTTCACCAAACAGTACAACTTATGACCCAGGAGTTGGGACCCCATCCGTAAACGACAGGACTTCTTCCGAGCTGCGTTCGTCATGATCAAGGGGCGGTGACCCCGAATCTGCTCAGCCACTGTAGCAGCAGGAAGTGAATGGAAGGCGATTTGGCAAGGCAAGCGATGTGTCACAAGCGACCTGCTATCTTCCTGCTCAGGAGGCAATTGCCAGGCCACAGTCACATTGTGCTGACCGTTTTGACTCCACTCCGAAAAAATACGAAGTGCAAGCAAACTTGCAAGAGACTGGGGGACAAAATCCTTCCATGAGCTGGATATCTCAAAGCTGGCCTCCCCACCCCGTGAAGGGGCCCATAGCAGTGAAGGCCCTCTGGACCGCGGCAGTGAACGAGCAAATGCCTCCAGAAGGACTACTTTCTCACCAAACATGCTCTGCCTCCAGTCCTACGGACGACCAAAGAAAAGCCTGCAGATTGAGATGGGCAAGTTTCACCAGCTCTGGGTGACCTTCATGGCTTCCGAGAAGTAGCAGCTGCTGAATCTGCGGATGAGGTGTGAGCTGCAATGACTGCAGCACCTCGAGCTAGACAGCTTGGCAGGTTTGATCATGCCACGCCCTTCACCGTTGCGAACCTAAGCCCTCAATTGAATCATTGCATACGCCTGCTTCTTTATCTTGTCATATCTTAAATCGGCTCGCCAAAATCAAGAAAAGCAACCATTAGGTGTTTATATTTGTATTTGTTAGGTCTTCGTAAGGGATACTCTTTGCCAAGACGTTGATGCTTCAATCTTTTTTAATGATGATGGTATATACAGTAAAGAATTTGATTGTTTCAAGCTAGGTTTAAATGTGCCTTTTGCTGAGACAATGTATATGATTAGTTTTAAAATCTATCAAGTGGTGAACTAACTATACTTCAAAAGGTTTTAAGTAGGTTTTATATATATATATATATATGTTTGTTTGTACAGGAGTAGGTCAAGTTAGTTATCGATGCCTACTACTTACACCACATAAACTCAAAAGCAGGTTTGTTATTGTAGAGCCGAAAGTCAAGTTTATAATTGTATTGACATTATTGAGCTTGCTATTGACACTATTTAGTTAATAATTGTATGTTTGAAAAAAACTGGTCTATAAATGCAATTGACCCGCTCTCTATTTTCAACCTACTGAAAAATCGGGTTTTTCTATTGACAGTACAGTACTGTAGTTGGCCCAGTTGGCTATTAAATATATCTAATTAATATTCGAGTCCATCATGTGTATGCTGCATGCTGCGAAAAATGCAGCTGCACAGTTGAGTCTACTGGGCCACACCTCTTGAAAGTGCATCTGATTGAAGTCCGGAAAGTTCTGGAAAGGCATCATCATTGCCTTAGTCTGAAAGGACAATCTGAGCGAGCTTGAATGAAGAAAATACAGCTTGTCTGGACTTGTCGCGTATGCGTGTGAATTGGATTGCAGTTTCCCAAAGCAAACCACACAAAGCCCAAGCAATGTGCAGGGCCAAAGTGGAGACAAGGCATCCTCTTTTCTTGCTTTAGCTTCAGCTCCGTGAAGTTGTGGGTAGGACATCTTAAGGGATGCTGTTACACACCCTCCTTGCGGTATGCAGGTGGAAGAAGAGAAGCAAAGCACAGCTTGCTTACAACCCTTTGCACCTTCATAGCAAAGGGAAACCTATGTCCTCTATCTGAGAATTCACCAATGCTTTGTCTCCAAAATGAAGGCACCAAGGAACAGGACTGGCCGGCGGCACCCCAAGCGCGATACCCAAAGCCTCCAGGATCATGGTGCCCTTTCCACAGAACGGATCCCAAATGCATAGCTTGTGCCTAAAGAGACAACAAACAGGGCTGTGTGGTCATCAGGGCAACATGGAGAAGCACAAGTTGAAGGACAAGCTGCCCAGACGCAGCGCACTCCTCCAAATGCTGCAAGAAGTTGGATTTCAGCACCTTGCACGCACTGAGTGGCATCTCTTTAGTGCCTTTAAGCTCGCGATCTTCGTCTCACCTATATAACATAATATAACCACCTTCAGTTTGTCTCAATACCTGGTACCAGTTCTTCGCTTGTGAGAGCACATGAGTCCCAAACACAGGCTGCAGCATGAGCAGGTTCAAGAAGCCAGGGGCTCCGAGTGCTCGGCTCCTCAAGGTCCGAATGCCCAGCCGGCTCTGCATGCACAGCTGAGTTCATAAAATGCCGTTCTCCTCTGGATCCAGGTCTATCTCTTTCTCATCAAGTGCCAGCTCGTACGCACGTGCATGCGGCACTGCAGTGGCCCCCACACTGAGGTGGCATTCATTCCTTGGTGCTCAACACACAGCACACACAAAGGACTCCACAAACAAGAAAGCTTTATGCTACGATGCTCATCTTTGGGAATGGTTAATTGCTTGTTACTAGCAGCAGGAATGCTAGTCCGAAACCAAATCATAACAGCTGGATCCCCCTGCCACCAGGCTGCTGGAACAGGTCAACGTGCACAGTTGGGAATGGCGGCCCTTCCTGAGCACTGCGCAGAGCTGCATTTTAAATGTTTTGGGTGTACGACTGTACAACAGTGCAATGTTGTGGTGATGGGGCACTGTTCATGAACAAACAAGGGCGATCAAGTCTACTTTGATTCAATGATGGGCAGTCACAAATCGCCAAGCAAACCCAAGGCCCCAGCACATGACCTGCATACGCACGTTCTGCAAATTATCTTACTTATACCCTGTTTTTTGGCAATCCTGCAGCTAAGTTGCAGGTGCAGGTCTGCCATAGAACTTTGCGTCCTCCTGTGTGGGAGAAAGATGTCGTCCAAACATTTTCAGACCTACTAGCTGTTTTGACTCGCATCCAGCCACTTGCCAGCAAATGGGACATGGCCCTGATCAGGACCTCAATTGCCCCCTCATATTGAATGTTGAAATGTTCACATCAACCTTTTAGCATGGCTTCAAAGAGCATGTTCAAGAAGCACTCCGCGTCACTTGTTCTCTAATATTACGTTGGCTCTCTTTTACCTTTGTTCCCTCATGTTTGTGAACAGAATTCCAAGAATACCAAGAGTTGCCAGAATAAGTGAAGGATTTCTATACCCCGGCGCATGCTGCCAGAAAGGCACTGCTCAGCAGGCGCTTGGCGCAGCTCCTTCTCCTGCAGCTTCAGGCTCATAAAGAACTGCCTGCGCTTCTCAATACCTCGCCATCCCGAAGGACCCAAGAAAAAGAGTGAGCGAACAGTAAGAGACTATGGTGACTATACTATACTAACAGAGAACCATGAAGGGTCCAGAATGTTGTTTCACAATTGGGGGGTGGAAAGGGCAACAAATTGAAGGTCCAACATACAGCTGTCAACGCTTCAACATACTCACCCCATCGTTCGCAAAGCAAAACCTTCAGCAACTCACAAAAATGTTCTCCCGCTTTCTGGCGTACCACTGAGCACTCCTCGCTCAATCACCTCTGAGTGGTAGAGCCGGGATTTCTCAGATCGTACCTTCAACCTCTGCAATGAGAAAAACTTGCAAAAACAATTGAAATGAATTGAACCAGCAAAAAACAATCCTTGAGCAGGCATCTGAGGAGCGGAGGGCCAATGGGTTCTGATCGGAACCACAAGTAGTCTGGCCAAGCGCAGCCAGCCACCTCAAATTTCAGGTTTGGTGGATGCGACCGTGCTGCCGGATTGTCGGTGCACAAAAAAGGTCAGACCCAAAAGGGTAAAGTGCCGCCTGCATAGGTCAGTTATAGGCAGCTAGACAATGAAACCCATACATACCTTTCATGTGGGTTGTTTTATGGAGATGCCTTGACACCAGGTGTCACATCGTTGACTCCACTTTTCAGAGCCGCATAGTTCGACAAGGTAGACTCATAGCCAGCGTGGAAAATGTCGCCGACGCCCAGGCGCAGCCCCAGCACCAGTCGGCTCTGCAAAGCTGCCCGCCACAGTGCAGACTCGGGTGCTGAGAGCAGCAGCTCACCTGCACGCCGAACCTCGGGCATGCCCAGCTGCAGGGCCTGGGACAGAATCTGTGAGGAATTGGAAGGGGCCAACAATCTGAAGCGCAGTAGAGCCTCCACCTCCCGTTGGAGCATCTTCTCGAGGCCTCAGAATGTTTGGGGCACCTGGATGGTTGCAGAACCATGCATGTGCTGCTTGCCCTGGAGGTGTTCTCAATCTAAGCCGAGGACCTGGGGCCGTGTCTAAGTACAGGCGCCTGGAGGCAGTGCATCTCATGTTCACTATACCTTTGGCATCAAGGATGACAAGAGGAAAAGCACCTGCAGATCCTGCAGTGCATTTCTCTTCGCCTTTCCCGTGCATCTCTTGTACCCAATTTTGCTACGGCCCTGATACACCACGTTCTTGGCACGAAGAAAACACTGACACTATCACTATGGGGGTCTCCTCGGCTCCAGCGCCCTTGTGGCTGCCGACTCCAGCTGTGCCAATGCACCTTTGGCTGCAGTTCTTGCATTTCGCGCCAGGCTCGACATGCATTTGCCAGCACCGTTGGACTGCAAGCCCTCAACAGGACTGCATTGGATTGCAGGGCTGGGCTGAGCTTTGGTGCTATCCAGCCGTGTTGTTGTTGAGAAGAACTGATGAGTGGCGGGTGTGCTCGTGATCGTCTTTCTCAATCGCCAGTTCTCGCAGTTCTATCAAACCACACACCTCATCACGGATGTGCAGGACTTGCACAAGTAAGTGAGTAAGCATCTTGATCATCTCTATTCTCGCTCCTGTCAATATACACAACCTACTACCCCATGATGCCACCGGCTCGAGCTGAGCAAAAATCAGTGTGTTTACGGTAACGGTGCTCTTCAGTCGTTTACTCGCATGACTTCACCAAGCTGATGTCACACACGTCTAGCAACGCATGCCTCTCACAACCTTTGACCATTGCCTTGTAGCAAGATCAATGAACTCAATTCACATTGGAATCAAGCTTCTTCACCCATTGGGTGTTCCTATGGGATCTATGGGCCATTAACAAGTTGACACAAAGGGCCCGTCGAGCACACCCTGAGCACTGCGGAGCCAAGCGTGATCCGCCGGCTCAACGAGGTACTGAGCAGGTCGGCCCGAAGGCTCCAGGAGTACAACCTTCCGGAACATCATGAAAATAGAACATGCCAACATCCACCACATAATCTGAAAGAACCAAAGGACTGAAGCCCCAGCACAATCTGAATGATCCAGGTCGCCCAGCATGAGATTTGCCCAGCCTCACCGTAGCAAAGGAGCTATCTGTGGCCAGCTGGCTGAACACGCCAGGATTCATCAGGCCAGCAAAGGAGACTATTACTGGAGAAGCATCACCACAAGAACTGAGCTCCTCTACAATTAGGACCCTGTTTGTAAGAGCCAAATTTGAACCATAAAGTGTGAAGCTGCAAATGGATCCCATGGTGCAGTCCACCCTGTAGGTACCGTAGGGCCCACTCATGCTGAACACACCCAGCTCCACCACAAAATTGGCACCCCCATCATAGACACCATGTGCCCAGCAAAGTCGATAGTGTGAACCGATGCAGCTGTCAGCTGGTGAAGGTACTTTGCAGGCAGTGTAGCTACCACCCACCACCGCAGCACCCAGCGTAAACTTGGAATCAGCTACAAGGACTGGGTTCGATAGCCCCTGAATGGTGGCGACCTGAATGTCCGCCGAGCCACACAGCTCAGAACCCGCAACTAGCTGCAACTGATTGGTGTCATTCAAGCCAACACCAGTAGGTTCAATGACACAGGAGGTTCCCAGAGTGCAGGCAACATTCAGACCTTGAAACGGTCCATTCATGATGAAACTGCCCAAAGGGACATTGTAATGATCATAGCTTGTCGGGTCAAAGCCCCAGCACACCTGATAGCTTCCTGGGGTGCCAGCAAAGCCGATGCCGCCATCATACCGGTCCCCGTTGGCATAGACATAACCAGGGTTGGCAGGTGCCATTAAAAGGTCTGTGCTGGCCGGATTGTTGAATCCACTCCATGGAACAATTGTTGGAGAGGAATCTCCGCAACTGCTGCTAGTAGAGATGAACAGCAGCTTGCTCGTATGTGCAAGTCGCACACCTTCCACATCAATCTTGCAGGGCTCACTCAAGGTGCATTCACTACTCCTTGCCACAGGCCCACCCATGCGCAGGGTCAGCACAGGCACATGATAATCGGTATCGGCTGATGGTGAGTAGCCCCAGCAGACTTTGTAGTCTCCAGGCATGCCACCGGTTGGAATGCCCACTTCAAACACATCAAAGCTTCCTGAGGCGCTCACGGGATTGGCGGCGCCAGGAAAAATGGCCATGTTTAAGCTTGTCTGTCCACAAATATCTGAAAGCGCCGTTATTGCAATCTTGTTGGTAGAAGCTAGATTTACTCCAGTGACTTGAATGCTGCAGCTCAAGCCCATAGTACAAGTGACCTCCGTCGTTTGTGCATCAGGGCCACTGATTGAGAAGGTACCAAGTTGAATATTCCAGTAATCTACACCACCATTGTGACCCCAACAGACTGTGTAGCCGCTCCCCGGGCCATCTGACGTTGTCCGTGCAATGCCCAAATCGTACACAGCTACATTCCCTGTTGTAGGACTTACCGGATTTGTCAAACCGTCGAAGGTTGCAGTTGTCGCCGACACATCACCACAGGAACTTTCTGAGTGGATGAGAAGTAGTTGATTGGAGGCTGCCAAGCCAACACCTGTAAGCGTGATCTGGCATGCCAATGACATCGTGCATGCCTGAGAGACCTGCACAGGGCCATTCAAAGTCAGAAGTCCCACAGGAACTCGGTAAAAGGCCGCGCCAGCACCATCTGCTGGCGCGCTCGACCAGCAAAGCTTGTAGTCAGTGCTGGGCTGTCCAGCCAGGGGGGTGTTCAGGTCGTAGCTATTATAAGGTGATTGCCCCGTCACAGTGATGGAATTCAGCATGCCAGTCACAGAGGAGAGAGTGGGTCCATTGTCACCACATTCTCCCGCAGAAAGCACAATCATTTTGTTTGTGCTTTCCATCTGAAGGCCTATGAGCTCCACAATGCATGAAAGCCCCAGAGTACAAGCAACGTTTTGCACATTCGGGCCTGTCACTGTGAAATCTCCCAGGGTTAGGGGGAAGTCGGCGGTCGAGCTGGGGCTTGCAGACCAGCAAATGGTGTAGCCTGATTGCGCGGTGCCTGTGTTGGGCCTCCCTAGCTGGTATTCCGTGAACGTCCCGTCTTGCACCAGTTTCTCCACTTCCATGGGGCCTGAGGTGCATGTTTCGACACAACACACTGCAGGTGGAACACTATCATGCTTCCGAATCGCAGGGGAAACAGTGCTGAAACCTCAGCACAAAAAGTCACAATTAGACTTCCTGTAAAAAAATGTTTGCAGCTGGGGGACTGAAAGTCGCTGGAACTGCGCTGGAACCACATTCGCTGCCGGTGTCGACAACTAGAATCTTGTTGGTGCTGGCAAAGGCTATTCCCGTCAGCGTGATGACACAGCTCTCGCCCTTCACACATGTGGACCCATAAAGAAGGTCAGGACCTCCCAGTTCGAAAGTGCCCACGTAGACGTTGTAATCCAATGGAGTTGTAGGTCCGAACGCCCAACAAATGACATAACTGCTCAATGGCACACCTTGCGTTGAAGTGTCAAAAACAAATGTGTCAAGGCTGGTGCCAGATGCAGCTGCTGGGTTAGTCCAGGATGCACCAGACGCATTGACCAGGTCAGCGGCTTGGCCGCACGAAGCACCTTCCTCCAACAGAAGGAGGCCATGAGTACCAATGGTGCTCAAGCCTGAGCCTGTCAAAGTGATCTCACAGGGTTGGGTCAAAACACACTGGTGGTTAGTTTGCACCGGACCGTTGAGTGTGAACAGGCCAGCATCAATGGAATAGTCAGCGTTGACCTTCGAAGGCGGAGTTTGAGTCGGTGATGACGACCAACACACGCGATATCCACTGCCTGGCTGGTTGTCATGGGCACTCAGCGGGCTTCCGAACGAGAACACTGTGTATGGCGAGGCTTGTGGCAATGTGGGGTGCACGAAGCTGGATCCAAAGGAGCTGACCAAACTGTCAACCAGGAGAGGGCACACACCCGAAGCACCAACTGCTACCAGCACCCCATTGTTTTGTGAAAAGCCTGAGCCCTGCAAGGTTAAAGTGCATGTCTTTCCCATGGTACAAGCGTGCGACATTCCAGTGGTAGGGCCATTCATGGTGAAGTCGCCGACGTGGAGGATATATTCATCCAGGGATGCCGGGTTCGCAGACCAGCAAACTTTGTACGTTACTGTGGTGTCACCTTCAGTTCCAACTTTCATCTCATAGTAGTTGTCATTGTCATTGTCCCACACAGCTCTGGGGTTCTCAAAGGTTCCGGAAAAGCTGGCAGCCGTCAGCCCAGTTCCGCAGGAAGTTGCAGCTGTGATCACCACCTTGTAGCTGGCAGGTGAAGCCGCTTGGCTGAAGCCTGCCAGTGTCAGAATGCAATCAGCTCCCAACGTGCAGGAAAAAGATTGTCCAGTGGAAGGCCCTTTCATGGTGAAGCTGCCAACATGATCCGGGAAGTCGGCTGCATTGATCGATGACCCGTGGCAAAGGATGTAATCTCCAACAGTGCCGCTAGAAGCAGTTCCGAAATCAAACACAGCTGTAGGATCGCTGTATGACGTTGCATTCTGTGGGTTGGTGATGCCATTCCAGGTCTCAGCTGCATAGCCGGCGTCCCCACATGAGGTGCCAGTCTCGGCGACTACAGCTGATGCCTCTGTGAGGCTCGTGCCCGAAACCTGAAAGCTACAAGATTCAGTAAGTGTACACTGGGGGTTGAAGTATCCCGACGAACAATAAGCAGCAGACAATGGGTCCGGACGATAGCTTCCCTTCAGGCAGCAATAAAATGCCATTCCTGCATATCCATTATCATTGTTACCTTCGATGATAAATTGCCACGAGAGGCACTGCGGCCAGTACTGAGCGCACAAGTCACAACAGGCAGCTGCATTCCCAACCTCTTGACAGCCCTGAGCTATGGAATTCACATCCAAGGTGATGGCCAAGTTCGTACCCTGGTAGCACACACTCGTCTCCGTCGTACAATCAGTACCAGCTGCCACAGCGACCAAGGTCCAGAATCCAAGTACCCGCAGGCCACGAGCACAGCTTTCGACGCCATGGCGTTGTTCTACTTGGGATTTCATGGTCTGTGGCTTTAGTAAGAGGAGAACAACTTTCTGAATATAAACTGCATGAGTCTGAGCGGTCTTGCAGTGTCTGGTGCCATGTCTCCAGGCAAAAAGCACATTGAATTCCATACTGTCTTTCTTTCATGGTCTAGTCACGTCATCCCGAACCCGAACGTTGGGGATAATCCCTGTAGCTGCAGCAATCTCTTTTGTCGCTCTCTCTCTCTCTCTCTCTCTCATTCTCGTGCTGGCTGGCGAGTCAAAGCACGGCTCTCATCGGTCTATGAAATCCAATCCAGCTCACCGAGGTTTCTTCCATCTCCTTGCCAGCAATAGTTGTGGTATTCCGCGGGTAGTAACTGCCAAGATCCTGCAGCACAAGCTCCAAAACCGTAAGGGTGAGTGTCCTTTCGAAGAACTTCAAAGGGCCTCATCTAGAATCAATTATCCAAGATTTTTGCATTGATGATGGCTCCAACCTCATATGTGGGACGATCCGATTCTGGTGGGAGAGCAGCCTGTCCCCACCAGATTGGCTGCCTAGGCACCAAGCCAAAACCGCAGAATTGGAGCATTCATGTCACTCTCTGCCAGCCCACAACGGCCAAGCGCCGGCGATTCCAATGTCACCACAACACAATGAACAAAGCATGAGTGCATACACAAGCCTTTGTTGGCCTTACTCCCAGAAGAGCTGGAGTCAAAGCTTCCTTAGGAAGAGACTTCATAGGCTGATATGCCACCGTTAGCGCTGCCTGCAGAGGATGTGCGAAGCCATGAACACAATTTGCCACTGGAAGTTTGATGTGTTCCAGAGAATTGGAGGGAGGACACCACTTCTCCAACTACCCGCTTCTAACCCATTCTTTATCCTGTCCCCAACAGTTGAACTCCAACGCACCAGGGTGATTATAAGCACCGCATGTGATCGTCAGCCCTGGCCGGGGGCCTGTTTCGGCTCCATGACCGAGACTCCAGGCCTCAGGATGGCAGTTCTTTGCACGTCGCTGGCCCAGCTCCGTCCACTCCTTTCCCTGCTTGAGAAGCATCTTTTTGCCATCAGGTCCGCCGAACTGGCGAAGCAGTATGGTCAGGTCAAAACAGGTTCCGCACTGTCTCTTCGGCTGCAGCTGTAGCTTGGAGCCGAATTACTTCAATGGTGCTTGCCACTGTGCAAGGCGAAGAATTGGCAAAATATCAATTGCACAAATGGTAAATGGATAAGCAGCAGGGCAAATCCATTGAGCTGGTGGTTTATGAACCGAATCTAAGCCAAACAATATATACTATGTTCGATACTTTTGCATTCCATGTTTGCTGAAGCACCTCAGGGTTCGAAAACATTCCCCCCCGAATTGACACAAAAGAGTGCAATGCTTGCTGTACTCCAGAGCCTGTTGTAAGAACTTTGGAGCATTCCCTCCTCTGGTCTGTTGGCTTCAATAATTTTCAACTCTGACTCTGGACAATCGGAAAGAAGAAATCTCAACCTGCAACCTCGGACAAGCATTCACCGAAGTCACTAAGGAAAGCCCAAGGCTTCTGCTAAGTGGCGTATTATCCACAAACTATTTACACATGTTCATCTTTGAACGTGGCAGCATGGGCAATGCTAGCGGCTGGCGATGGAACTGAATTGCCTACCGTAGCAGCATATTCAAGCTTTATGAATGCGGGATCGCCAACCCGGTCAAGGCAGTCTACTACAGTCAGTGTGACAGCCTACTGTTCCGACCTGCTGTTTCTGCGGGTTTGATTGCATAAGGTATTTGGACGTTGGCCAAGACTGTGGGTATTCGCAAGGCCTCCACACATCCGGGCAATGCAGGACAAGCAACATCAGCTTCAGTGCGCAACCCACAAACCGGATCCCCTTATATATAGAACTGTGCGACAGTGCACAGGAGAAAATAAAGGACCTGGAGGTGGAGGCCAACGCAAACAGCTTGGCCTTGTATCAAATTCTGCCCTGGACAATCACTTAAAGTGAAGCTTGCCACGACTCCCTCCAAACAATGATCTTCCAAATAAGCACTCAGGAGGAGAAAAAAGGTAATATATAATAGGGTCAAGCAAACTCATCACTTGGAAGGACTGTCTGTGGCAATCAAACAACTGTGCGATATTGTATTGTGCAGCGGCGGCGCTGCGGGCACGAACACAACTGGGTCATTCAAGAAAAGAATCAGCTCTTCCTTGACACTTCTGGCCGACAGAAACACTGTTACAAAGAAACCTATCCCACCATCTACCACCGTTGCAGGGCATTTTGCCCTGTAGCAAAAGCACGTGCTGCATGTAGCTGCAAGCTTACACACACAAACCAGGCCTAGGAAGCAAGGCAATCAGTTGGAAGGCAAAAAACAAACGCGTATGGTAAATGGCAAGTTTCTCAACTGCTTCGTTTCTTTGGAGACACATATTTTTGATTGCCGGCATGGACAGAACTGCTGCCCTGGAAACCATGTGCAATTGATTGCTAAAAAACTCAATTGTTTGACAATCGCAGAGTTCCAGTCCATTGCATCTGTTGAAATACTTGGCAACAACACGTCAGCTTCTAATCGTCACCAGGTTGATATTCCAAGTCTTCTGAAATACCAGGCAAACCATTTCCTTGGATGCATTGGATGCATTCACGCACTGAATGCACTATTCCATTGAACAATGTTTCCCAAACACCAACATCTACATTCATTGCTGACCTTCGACTTTCAGAGCACTTGCGCCTTTCAAGAAGCCACCCAAGCGATTCGCATCAGAACAATGCAATTTTAACAACATCTGTGTTCGATGTGCTCCGAGGAACGATCTCGCCCAAACTGTGGACCAAGTGTGGCCTGAACATTCGTGGGCAAGTGAAAGGATACCATCCACAAGTTCACGAGTGGACTACCCAATTGAATGCAGGTGAAGGACTAGTAGGGTTGTGGGGTTGACATAGTTTCAACTGTTTCAACTGTCAAGTCCAAAGACCTCACGCAACATTCCACAATGCCTACGCGCATTGGTCGGAAGCACTGGCCTCGCAGGCCTCGAAGAAGACCCGGTGGTGAGGGCAAAGTGTTTTTGCAGCTGTGATCAGGACCATCAGTTCCTGCCACTAGCACCAGGATTGGCATGACCCCCACACCGAACACAATCCAACCAATACATTGTACAATCGAAACGGAGCACGTTGACAAACCAAATTGTTCTGCCTTTATTGTGGGCGCAACAACCTGAATGAGGCTACCTGGAATTCCAAGGCATGAGATGTGTCACCACTACCCTCCTGGTGCTTGAAAGAAGTAATGTCTGCCGCGGCCATGTCCTGCACCGTGTCCATCAAAAGTGTTGTTGAACATCTGAAACTGAACACCCCCATTGGAAACATCAAGGTGCAACAGGGCCAGTACATAGATATATATATATACACACAACAGCATTGATTTGCACATGGGCGCATGCGATTGACCAGTCGCACGGACCACCGGACCGAGGCAGAGAACAAAATGAGCCTGTTTGCTTTGGGTAGGGTTTTGGCATGCCCTGGGTAGCGGAGCCGCAGCACTGTTGGCAAAAAGACACAAAGCGCTGAAAAACCTGACTAACTTTTCAGACTTTTGACAACTGCTGGCAAAGTTCCTTGTAAAGTTTGTAGGAAAGCATTCAGGTGCCTTGAATATATGGGCCAAGGGTCAAAGCAGCTTCCAGAAATAATGATTGGTGAAGCGAACTAGTCTAACAAGAACAACGCAACGCACATACTGTATATATATATATAGTTGTATGGTTAACAGATGCTCGCTCGACAGTGGCGCAGATTATTTTCACATACATGCAAGATCAATACGTTACACTATACCTGGGGCCCTCCGTACACGTATAGTATACAATTTTAAAAAAAAATATATAGATATATATAGTTAAACAGCATTATATAAAATTACAGTGTGTTGGAAATCCAGGTGTTGAAGCCTGGCTACGGACGCGAAGCTTAGGAGAGCTTTGCGTCTTCGCGGCTTCGTGGCTTCGTGCCTTCGCCTCTGCGAGCCTTCGTGTCTTCGTGTTTTCGCATCTTCGAACGTTCATGTTTTCATGCCTCTTTTGATGTCACCCTTTGGAAATATTCCCAGGTATGGTGCCATGCCTCCCTTTCCAGCCGTCAACATGAGCATTGGCAAAGTCTATTGTTTTTCCTCTCTCTCTCTCTGGCTCCCACTCTCCCCTTTGAGGGGTCAAGATAAACTCGGCTGGCCACAGTCTCTGGCCGCGCCGGTGAACGCTGTCCGCCTGTTGCCCTCTTCTTATTCCTTCTTCCGGTGCATTTTTCCGGTGCACACCTTGACCACGGCGGCCAGCCAGTCACCAGACCTTGCCCTTTTCTTCTTGTTTTCTTCTTGGCGCCCTGTTGTCATCCTCTGGTCCTCTCTTGTCCTCTCTTGTTGTTGCTCTCTCTTGTCCTCTCTTGTTGTTGCTCTCCTCTTGTCTTCCTCTTGACCTCTTCTTGACCTCTTCATGTCCTCCACTTGTCCTCGCAATGTTGTCTTGTTGACACCAGCTTGGCCGCGCTCCTCTTGTCTCTTGTTTTCCTTCTTCTGGTCTCCAACTTGGCCGCAACGGTGAACCTTATGTTCACCCGCTGTCTTCTTCTGGTCCTCAAATTGTCCACCTGTCCTCTTCTTGTCGTTTGGCGCCGCTGTTGGCCCGTCTCCAGTCTTTGTCCTTTGTTGTATTATTGTTGTTTTTTTGCGTTGTCCTTTTCTTGTCCTTCTTTGGTCCTGTTTTTAAGGCTAGCTCTCATCGTGCAGACTATATGTAATCAAGCCGGTGTTGTTGAGGCTCCCGCGCCTAAGGCCATGAGACCTGTTGGTTTTTTTGTGCAACTTGGAATCGGATGGCAAAGCCTTTTGTCAATCGCTTTGTTAATACCCTCGTTTGCGCTTGTCATGTCGTTGCACACAGGAGCTCAGAAAGGGATGATGTCAAATGGCGTGCATGTGAGCTGTTGAGTAGTAACCATTCACGTACTCAATCTCTTTGCTGCATGCCCATCAGTTGCAGGATCTATGCCAAGATAAGTAAAAAGATCTGTCTGTGGAAACGACGGTTTTGCGTTTCAGCGCCAGGAACATGTTGCAGAAGTTTCAGCGACTGGCAAGAGTGGTCGGCAAGCAAATGTAGGGTGCGGGGTTCAAGTCCACGTCGATGAGTGATATGTCCTGGGACGGCGTGTGGGGATGTCGTGCTGTCTAGTATCTCAAAGATGGGAAATTCAAATGCACACCATAGCACTCTGTCCAGACATGGGCCGTGCGGAGATATTGCAGCACCTGACTGGTGAGCTGACGCCACCGGTGGGCCAAGAGGGTTGCTGCCTTCACATAGACATAGAAGAAGATTGTTCAAAACCGTTGGGTTGCACATCCAGACACGCCACCGTCATGCTCCAAACACACCATGTCTCAAAGGACAAGACCGAGGTCAACCTCTGCAAAGCATATGCATACAAGGGATGTCTTCGCGTAGAGTCGTGGTCACGGTCCTGATGCGTTTAAATTCTGGGCGGCGACCTGAAGTCTTGAAGACCTGAAGCCTTGAAGATCTGGGTGACAACTTGAAGCCTCGAAGACCTGAAGCCTGGTGACGACTTGAAGCCTTGAAGACCTTCGTGTCTTCGTGTCTTCTTGGGTCTTCGTTTCTTCGTATCTTCACAGGTCTTCGTGTCTTCACGCAATGTACATATATATATATATATATTAATGTTTTTCCCCGCCCCCATGTATGTATAGTATATACCGTACCTATATAGGCATGATTCAAAAAAAAGGACCACAAATCCCCTCTTCGGCCGCTTCGGTCCAAGATCTTCTGCACTAAGAGCGTCCGATCACGCACGTCCAACTCCGCCAAAGCCCAGAGAAGGCTCGACCTTTCTGGCGGAGCAAACCAGGAAGCACAGCGACACACGCACAAACATGCGTTTAGTGTTCAGCTCTTTGCCCCACGGTCAATTACAAATGGTTGAGGAGACCAGGTTACCTGTGGTAGACAAGCCATGACAAGCCTGAAAGACATCATGAAGACACCGGAAAAGAATTAATGATGTAAGGCCAAATCGTGGATGACTGACAGCAAGAGAGAGAAATGACACGCCAAACCTGACGGTACCATCTCGGCCGTGTGCCTTTCAGATCGTTCAAACGCTACTCCGGTAAGACATGTGAATGCACAAAGGCATGTCATAAGAAAAGCATCATCAGCAACGCAGTCTTGGCCTGCTTTTGGCCAAGTGGCGAATCTTCTGGTGTCAGGCTGTGACTATTGCGCAGGACAACACCGCAGATCTTGCCAATGGACTCTGCATGGCGAAACTGAACCTGAACAAACCCCCTGGGTGGGAGAGCACATTCACCTTCTTTCCCTAAGCCTTCGGACACATTGATGTGGAGCTGATAGGGTGCGGATCGTGCCTGCGCAAAAGCAGTTAGAATATTCGTCATCTGCGTGGTACCTGAGAAGAGCAGCTGGGCATCAATCACACTTCAATGAGTAACAGAATGTGACCACCAGTCTGTGTGATGCAGCCATCACAAAATGCTTAATTGCCTTTGCTACCCGTACCGTCAATCTGGTTATCCTGTCCTCTTTGCATGCTGTGACGCGAGACATTGCCACCAAAATGCTGAACCGTGATGACCCTGACAGTGTCAGAAACGAAGCCGCAATCTCCTGCAACGTGCATGGTCTCGCCATTGCAATGCTCATCCTCTGAAACAAAACCAGTGTTTAAAGGAATCTGGGTACTTCTTTGTCCTCAAAAAGCCGTTGGTGCTTGATCTTCATCTGGCCGAAGGACCAAACCTCAAGGTGTCCAAAAAACAAAACTGTCTTCATGTCCCGTCCCTTCCTTACGGCTTGAATCAACTGCTTATCCTTCCGCGGTGCAGCGAGTTAAGACAAGGGATTGTCTATACTTTTGGGATTGAACTCATAGGTATTCCAAACGTGCCAAGCCATCCATGCTCTTCACCCACTTTACCCTTTGCCAGCTGTATATACATGACTCCATCATTTCAGGCATGTCACGACGTTGACCACCTCCTGAGGCTTCAAGGAGTGGACCTGTGGTAAAATCTCATCCGCGATGCTCTTGAAAAGCTGACTTTGCAAGCTCCTGCGGCTGGGTTGTTGCGCGTTCTGTGCGTCCAACTATCAGCTCTCTCAAAGTGACGTAGGCTTGTGTATCTATAGAATCTATATAGACTCAACCCCCCCCTGACAACAAATCCAAAAACAGTGAGCCAAGACTTCAAAAGTGCCTTAACTTTCACACAACTTTACACTTTGTTTTCCTCTGACGTCCTTGAGATCGATGAAGACTTGGCAAAGGACCATGCAGCAGCCGCCAAGCACTGAGCCTGTGGACTTCAAAACGACGTCCAACGGCACCGGTGTTAAAGGCAAGAAGGATGGTGAATATTTGACGCTGGTAGCTGTGGACAGCCAAGCCAGGAGCACACTTTTTCGTGACATGTCAATGCCTTGTACTCTCCACGACGTCGACCCTGCAGCATAGTGGCCACGTTCCTCAATGAGGATTCAATCCGAATTTGGCTGGACTTTGACTTTCATTGCTGCAAATCTTTATCCTGGAGATTTCCAACTCTTACCTCATCTTCTCATAGGGTAAGTAGCTGGAAGAGATGTGTGCACGGAACAGAGAGCTTGGTGAAGGCCCACACAAGATTCGTGACCTGCCATCAACACCAGCGCTGGAAATCTTCCTACAGGTGTCAAATACAAGTTCAATCATTCCTCGGAGCTTTCCATGTGCTTCGCTCTGCGTGGAAAATCCAATCCTGCCTCATAGGGCTTCAGCTCCCGCAGGCGCGGAGCAACAAGCTCAGCCAAAGTACCAAAAAGTCGATCGTTGCGGACCTGGAAGTGTTTGTTGCAGGACCTTCATGGATGAGTTCCCTTGGTTCCCTCGACTCGATTCCTCATGTTGGAGTTGATCCTGGTAAGGAATTGATAGTTGAGACGCAGCCACAAATGTTAAGTTGCCCGTCCGGCATGGACAAACCTCACAACTGAGCCCCACACAGACAACCTCAGATCTCTCGGCCCGGTACGCTTTCTGTTCACACATGCTGCTGCACAAAGAAGGGAGAAGCATGACTGTCTGATATACAAAGGGCAAAAGGCAAAACAGAACAAACTGTCCAAGTAAAGTGAAGTGCTGTCCAAGTAGCGTAGCACAAGACCATGCTACAATGCTTGCACACTGTGCTGGAAATCCTGCGGATTGAGCCTCCATAGAGTTACTGTCCTGCCCAGACTCGACTGCCCACCGAGCTTTCCTGCCAGCTCTCAGAACGCATGGCTCAGGATGGCTCAGGCATCATGAAGATTGTGTTTTCTCGAAATCTCCAGGTCCAGTCCTCTCAATGGCCTTCATCATCGGGTCAAAGCCTGGGAGGTAAATGACGACAGTGTTCTGAAGCTGGCTCGGGCGTCAAAAAGCTACACTGTTTGCCTGTCCCATTAGAAAACAAAGCGTCCATACAAATCAAGGTCTCTTGTCTTGTTTTTCCTTGGTGACAGAAGGATGGAGGAAAGGTATCATTTGCATATAAATATATTTGTGTATATATATATATATATTTGGGCAACACTTCAGTTCCCGTCGAAGACAGCCTGGATGCGACTGGATATTGCCCTTCTGTGTCTCATCCTCAGTCCGAGCAAAAAAACAGAATTCAAGACACAAGATGAAGGAAAACCTAGCCATGGCCATGAGATTCGCAGGACACCAACGTTGCAGCAAGCATCTTCAATGCTGTGGCGCGCAACACGGTGCAAAGAAGTTGCAAGATTGACACCTGGCAAGGCAACATACTAGGAGCAAGGACGCTACTAGGAGCATTCTTACTACTACTAGTAGCAAGAAGCTACTAGGGGCTCCTGGCCTTACTACTAGGAGCAAGGACACTACAACAGCATGAATGCACCTTGGCCTTTGAACCCGAACTGCCACAAATCCCCAATGCTGGTCAAGCTGCCATTCATGGAGTTCAAGTGGCTCCATGTCACATCTAGAACACTGTTCACATCACCTGCACCGATGCCGAACTCTGGCGTCGAGTGATGAAAGGATTTGGCATGCCTAATGAAAAGTGGAATGTTTGTCTGAAACTGGGAGGCTCTGTACAACACATGCAACATGCTTCAATCTCTCAAGTTTTGCAGTCTGCCCTTGACTCTCATATTTCTTGCTGAGCTTGTGCACCAAGGTTTGACTCATGATTGGAATGGACCCGTGCCAAGTGAAAGGTGGATGCTGATTCTGGCGACTGTTTGCCCAACTCTCCCGTTCAAAGCGCAACAGCCCAGTCCTTTGCTGGCGGCGTGCGTGATTTCACCTTGTCACTGGCACGACACGTGGAGCCAAAAATAGGTTTCCAGAAAGTGCTGCGAAACTCTTTGAAGGTCTTAACACAGCCGTGCACCTGCCTCAAAGAAGAAATCAAAGTGAAAGCGCTCGACCGCGCTTTTCCATTCAAGGCGCACAAGCGTGAGGTAGAAACGAACAATGGCTGAAGGGCCCTCGAGACGGAACGGCCACGCGACAAGTTGGGTCAACCTGAGTCGATGTCTTGCATGACTTTTTCACTGGTATTGTTTCTTTGGCCCAACTGGAGTGTCCGATCCCAGAAGGTGTTCAAGGGGCTCTCAACTAGAATGGCGATGGGATTCAGCAACCAACGCCGGAAGGTGTCTCTGAGCCGAGCATCGACCTTTGTCAGGCCGTCGGCAAATTGGTAATGGGTCGGAACCCAACGGATCTTTGTGGCGTCCACTGTTTCTTGGATTGCCCTCACGCTCACTAAAGTGCGACGGTCATTGAGTGTGGGGTTGTCGCTCATGATGGCGTCAAACAGTGAGCGGGCGTCCACTGCATGCAATGCAGTGAGCTGTGGTCCACAGCGGTGGGCGCATTCATCCACCATGACCTCAGAGATGAATCTATTGACATAGTCAGCTCTGTCTGCGGCTTCATCTGCTGCACATGCTTCAGCTGCTAATGTTGAACGGCACACTCGAGGTGATCTGGCTGAGCGCCAGTCTATCAAACCAAAAGGGGCAGGCTTTGAGGTCACTGAAGGCTCAGTGACTCCGATGAGGACTCCAATTTGGCTGCCGCTCTTGCGGGCGTTTGCCCAGGAGCTATCTGAGTAGGCCAGGACAACACAATGCTTGTTGATGCTGATCTTGGGGATGAAGATGCCATTCGTAATAGTGCTTTTCATGTAGGTCACGGCCTCGTGAAGGATCTTGAGGTCAGTGGCGTCTGCGACATCTCCATGTCCAGTCAAAGACGTGGTAGCCGCCAGCTCAGGGCGTGCTTGTGTAGATGCCCACTGGAGACATCCATTGATGCTTCTCAGCTCCTTTCTTTCGTCTTCTGAGATGGACAGGTTCTGTTGGAGACGTCCTCGAGGCAGTGAACCGGCATCCAATGCTTCTGTGAACTTTTGCATCTGAATCTTGAGACCATATGTCCCGTTCTTGCAGGTCACCGTGAGCTCTTTTCCTTTGAACGTGGCAGCGACTCCTGTCTGCAGGGTCTGAAGGGCACCCCATTGGAACAAGCTATGGGTCTCCGTGAGGTCATAGTCAGACCTGGCAATTACAAAGAAGTCGTCGACATAGACGATGAGGATGGAAACTGGCTGTCCATTTTGCCGCTTGATGTACATTTGGTGATCAAAAGAATGAACAACGTAGCCAACCTTGGTCAATCGAGCATGAACTTCTCGCTGCCATGTGACTGGCGCATTCGCGAGGCCATATATGTTACCTCTGACACGGTAAGCCTTAGCTGTCCAGGTATTGGTGAGTGCTATCAGGCCGTCCTTGGGCGGTGTGATGAACAAAGGCCCACTCCTCTCTGAAGGATCTTGAACTCCTTGAAGAAAGGCGGTGGTGGCGTCGCCAAGCCAACCATTCCATGAGTGGCCGTCATCAAAGAGGGCCTTGTTGAGGCCTGCAACCAAAAACAAATAGAGGATCTGCTCGGCAACACGTCCTGGAGTTCCTGAATTTCTCGACAGCTGCTTCAAATCTGGGTCTAGATGACCAAGGGCCACGATGCGGCACTTAGCTCTGACTTCACCTTGGCCACATGACTTGTCTCGGTAGCAAGCTCTTGTGCGAAGCACTCGGTGGCGAAGGTGGGTGAGGACATACTCAGCCTCGGAGTCTGGAAGTGGCTCCACGCTCTGCCAAGTTGACCAAGAATGCTTCCTTGTTTATGGCAGCAAGAAACTTGTCTATATATGCTGCTGGCATTTCAAAGATCTTGCGCCATGGGATCTCACGATCTATGGCTTTGAGCTCTTGTCGCGACAAGCCACGCTTGTACAAGGGCATCTTGGACGATACACTGCCACCTTCTTGTATGTTCGCTGTGTCTGCTGCTGCAGTGCTGTGGTTTGTGTCTGCTGCTGCCGAAGTGTCACTGTCTGTATCCGAGTCTTGGGATGTGTCTGACTCGTGTGCTGGTTTGTCCAAGTGCTTGGTGTCTTGCTGTCGCTGCTTTGTTTGCAGGTAGGCGTAGTGAAAGCCTTTGTGAGGGTGTCCGTATGCGAGTGGTGGTGAGCCGTCTGTATAGCTGTGTATGCGGTAGTACTGTCTGTCGTCAAGTGCTGCCAGTACGTTGAGTGTTTCGTGCAAAGCTCTCTTCTGTGGTAGCAGTGGTTGTGGTACCATTGCTGCATTGTGATGCTCTGCTGTTGATGGCTCTTGTGGTGAATCAGGTTGTACCTCTGCAGGTGATTGCGATGCATGAGGTGATGCCGAAGACGCTGCGATTGCTGGCGTCTGCTCTGCTTGTGCTATGGGTTCAGGAGGTGATTGCTCTGTCGAGTGTGATGGTTGCTCGTTGGTGTGTTGTTCCTCCTGGCCGGTAGCTTGTAGAGCAAGTGGTGAGTCCAAAATGGTCTCTGCCTGTACAGGTGGTGAAACTGCTTGCGCTGCTTGTGGAAAAACTTCTGGAACAGGTTGTTCCTGCTGGGCTGGTTGTTCAGCCAATGCTGGTGGTTCAGCGTGTAAAAGTGTTCCGGATGTCCGTTTGGAGACCGGTGTGCGGGACCTAGTTGTCCGCGAGTGTGGTGTTCGTGGTGCTCGTGGCAGGTCTCCATAGCGGTGAAACTCCTGCTGGATGTTATGGTGGTGGACGTGTGTGGGGCCGTCCTCGTTGACATGTATGTTCTGCTGCTGCTGTGAGATATGTGGCAACACTGGTGTAGCGGGCGCTGCTGATGTGTTTGTGGCTGCCGCTGCTTGCGGTGTTGCTGGAACCATCATGGAGGGAGTTGGTGGCGGCAATGCCTGAAGATCTTCCTCCAGAATCTCGGATGGATGTGGTTCCTCTTGCGGTGGCTCTGGACCTCTGTCGTCCATGAGATATTTGCCAAAGTCGGTGCTGGCGTCCTTAAGGACTTGAATATCCTCTTTGGACGGTGTCCAATCCTCGAAGCCAAACGCGCATCTCATCTGTTCAGCAGTGACCAAGGTCGTGGAAGTAGCAGTCTTGACCCATGCTTGCTTGCCAACATGAGCAGGGCCCCAACTTAAGAATCGTCCAATCACCCAGGATCCTCTCTTCTTCTGACCCTTTTTGGTCCAGCGCCAATATGCACATCTCTGACCCGGCTGAACGTCTGCCACCTTGGTGTGACGGGTCTTTCTAAGAAGAGCACGTCCAAGATGCTTGGAGACGTCCAGGTTGCGCAATGTCTTGATGGCTTCGGATCGGACGATCTCTGGATTGGCTGGGGCATCGGCTCCATATGGAAGGTGTGCCACTTGGGAAGAACTGGCAAGGACCGTCGGGTCACTGAAGTTGCTGTCGGGAAGGCGAGGCTGTCTTCCAAACACTGCCTGGTAGGCACTCCTTCCATGGGTGTGGATAGTGCTGTTGATCGCATGGCAAGATGCCATGAGCAAGGTGGAACATTCCTCAATGGTCGTGGCTGCAAATTGGTCTATCAGCTTCTCCAAAATGGTGCGAAGCAGGGAGTTCCTTCGTTCGACCATGCCGATGATGTGGTGGGCCTCAGGTGGACAGTGATCCACTTGGCATCCCAAAGCTTCCAATCGCTGCTGGAAGGAACCTCTGAAGGAGGTGTCTGGGTCCGCCATCACTTTCAAGGGAATGCCATAGGGGCGAAGCCACATCTTCTCAAACTGGTCAAAAACAGTGTCAGCATTGCGGTCCGGTGTGATGATGGCCTGATGTAGGCCTGTAGCTCTATCCACTGCTCCTAAAACCATGAAGGTTGTCCCCTTGAGGGTTCGACAGAAAAAGATGTCCAACTGAATCTCATCTGCAAACTGACCCACGAAGGACTTGGGCATAGTGGACGGCCTTGGTTTCTGTGGAGGCTGCAAGCGAGAACAAGTAGCACAGTTCAGACGTCGAGCTGCGTCGAGCACATCATCTGGCACGTTCTCGTAGGCCAGAAGTCGTACTAGCTCAGGTCGACTGGGATGGCCAAGATTGCAATGCATTCGTGCTACCATGGATCGGATCTCTGCCGACACCGAGGGTTTCAAGTTGGGGAAGGTGATGTCCGTCTCCAAACCTGGCACAACATTGGGCGTCCTGGATGGCTCTGGAGGAGGTTGGACAATCTTCCTCTGGGTGCCGAAAACAAAGATTCCCAGTCGCACAGGCCGGCTGAAACGCTGTCTTGGGAACTGAATGTCCCCGAGGTCTTCCACTTCAACTGATTTGCTGTTGTCGGAGTAGAGGAGAAAGCAAGCCCGCGTGTCAAAGGGCTCGTCCAAGGAAAGGAATCTTCGGACGGTAGGGTTGGCGACCACTTGAATCTTGCAAGCATCAATGCGAAGAAGGTCTTGGATGAGGTTGGCCATCGGCGAGCCAAGAGACACGTAGTATGGTCTCTTTGCGGTGTGGAGGTACTTCTTGTCGATGTCCTCAACAATTGGGTCCCACTGTGACAAATCTGTCGACGGGACTTGTGCAGCCAAGACATGGTGAGGTCGACAAAAACGTTGTGGTAGTCGGAAATGTGCTTCTCTTTGAAGGTGTTCCAAAAACAGACGGCAAAGCTCCTCTGGATAGGCTTGAGACTTCTTGTTCAATGAGCCTTGAATCGGAGTGCGCTCTTGGACTTGTAGTGGAGATAGTCGACGGTGTCGAAGGTCTTCATGAAGTGGTGCGCAGTTTCCCATGAACTTGAAGGCCTTGCGAATCAGATGTCCGTCGATTTGTGCTCCGAAGCTGCCGGCATGGATGACAACTGTCCACACTCCTGGAAGAGCTGCAAGCCGCTGCATCTGAGGTGTATCCCATAGTTCGGAGTTCTGGGGGTTCTCTATCAAGAAGTATCGACCAGACTGGTGCTGCTCTGTGGCAATCTTGGTGACAATGTCCAACAAAGGCTTGTCGTTGGCCTGAAGGTCATACCATTGATCCAGTCGGTGGGCACAGTTGAGGTTTCTATTGAAGCGGTTGTAGTGCTTGCAGTCGATGCCCATCAAAGTGAGCAAAGGTCGAAACCGCCGCAGCACTTTCATGGCTTCTTGACGAGTGGAAGGACGTCGAAGATCTTGGCCATGTAGGAGGTCCCAAGGTTGAAGCGCATCAAGTCCGTATTCGTGAGCGAGCAAAGAACATGTGGCTTCTCCTGCAAACAGTTCCCATAGGTCAACGCAAGGATGTAGTCTTGTAGAAGCCGATGAGGTGGAGTGGTAGATGTCATACTCCGCCTCGAGGACTTGTGCTGCTTTCCTGCAAGTGCCGCGGACATACTTGAGGGCGCCGTTCTTCACTCGGTGTCCCACTCGTAGACCTCGTTGTCCGGGTTGATCAGGACTTCCATCTCGTAGAGACGATCCCATCTCTTCTGGTCTTCTTGACGTTCCCACTCTTCTCGATCCTGGCGGTAGCTCTCCTCGTTCAGGTAGGCGTGCATCTCCCATGAAGTTGCTTCTTGTAGAAGAGGACTTTCCTGTTGGAGGATGTTGAACAACTCCAGCTGTTGCGCTTCCGTCAGGTGATCGGTGTGGAGGTTCATGGTCTCGAAGTTGGTCCAATGAGGTGTCTCCGTGGCGTAGGAGGAACGACTCTTCGCTTTGGCCTTGGCCTTGAAAGTCGGGTAGCCATGGGACTGCGAAGGCCTCGGCTTGCTCATTGGTCCTTGGATTCGACTGTCCGGAGTAGCTATGGTTGCCAAAGACGGCGGCGGCAAGGGTCGCAAGCGAGATGAGGATGCCTTTTGTCCAGGAAGATGTAGTTCCCATGCCTCGAGGCTGTCGCTCCATCGCCACTGGGTCTCGCAGTCCAGGCATTTGGCGAATCTCCCGTGGGCATTGCCGTGTCGACGGCACTGGTTGTGCTTGCAGATCTGTGGCTTCGTCTTGACCTTCACGTCGGGTGGAAACAGCTGCAAGGCATCTCTTGGCAGGTGATGCATCTGGAGTGTGAGCATGAAGTACTTGATCGTGTCCTTGAAGGCGTTGGTCACAGCTCGAACCAATCGACGCCAAGCTGCCAACCATCGTGGAGGTGGTTGATGCATCAGGCGAAGGTGAGCAAAGCAGGCGAAACTTGAGGTGGTAAAACAAGCTCTGGATGAGGCTCATTCCAAAAACTCTCGTGCGACAACTGCTTCCATGCATCAGCTTTGTGAACATCACGAACAAAATCACAAATGTCAACTGCCATGTGGCCACCGATTCGATGAATCTTCACCTCAGCCTGGAGCCTATTGAAAAACACAACATCTTTGGCAAAGTTGACCTCTGCTCCAAGGTTGGTGAGTAAAGAGTTTGAACCAAGCAAAGGAATCTCTTCTCTGAGCACCGCGCCTCCCAATAGGAGGCTGTGGCCGCCAATGCCTGCCGGGATGTAGGCACGGGTCGTGGAAGTCGAAGGTGTACCCTTACCGAACTGGAATACATCGTTGGCTTGGATGTACTTGGGGATGAGGCCCATCTTGTCGATCTTTTGGAGGTGGGCTGATAGCCAAGTCTTGCCGCAGCACATCCTTTGACATCCGGAATCCAAAACGAGGTACCCTGCGAACATCTCGGGGCCATTGAAGGAAGACTCGTGGACCAAATAAGGTGGATGTAGTTCAGGTTGAAGGGAAACCATACCTATCGAAAACATGGTGCCATAGGACTCCTGAGGTGGTGGTTCATGAACATCGATGGTGCCATGGTCATGGTGAAGAAAACTCACGTTAAACTTCTTTCCCCCAGTAGATGATGAACTGGATGTTGGTTTTCCCCCTGAAGCCGCTGAAGAAGGTGGTCTTTTCTCAAAAGGCTTGGATCCGGACTTGTTCATCGGGCATTCTGGGTCTTGATACCAGCGCCCTTTGGCTCCACAGGCCGAGCAATGCGTGTCCTTCTTGGCATTCTTCGGCATCCTCTTGGGATTGGAGGTGAATTTCCGGCCAAGCGTGAGACCGCTTAACTTTTTGGCGGTCAAAGTGAGAACTTCAGCCACTTCAGCCAAGTTGGGAAGGTCTTCTTGTTGGTCAGGGTCGTCCTCCTCAGGGTCATACAAAGGAGGTTCATCTGGTTGGTCGTCTTGAGGGGTGTCATCTTCCTCGTCGACCACCGGAAGTGATTCTTCCTCTGGCATGTCATCATGCTCGGCCACATATGTGCGCTTCACAAAGGATCCGGGTTTTCCGGATGAGTAGGTCGTAGACCTTGAAGGTGCCGTTGAGGTTGAGGCCAACGATGAAGATGAAGACGATGAAGGTCTTCCCTTTGAAATCCCTTTGGGAGTCTCTCGTGGGCCTGATGCTCCAACGACAGGTGGTGGTGGCCTAAATTCTGGCCACTGCAAGGTCAGCGCCTCAACAATCTTGGAGAAGTCGAGTGACTGCATGGTAGAAGCCAGAATCATGCGTTGGTCCTGATGAGACTGACCGGCACGGTCTAGCAACCTTGTGCCCAAGGCTTCATCATCATAAGTGGCCGTGATGTTCACGCCCACTGAGGCCAAAGCGCGCTGGCTTCTTCTGAAACGGTTGGCATATTGCCACATTGATTCACCAGGGTAGCGACGCATCATCTCGAATTGATGAAGGTATTGCCTCAGGGCTGACTCCTTCTTGGATTGGAATGGAGCAACACGAAGCATCCAAAGGTCGACCTTCTTGCGGAACTTGTCATAAGCACGAAGGTCGTCTTTGTCGTACTGCCAAGATGGAGGTGCTGGAGCTGTTCCTCCACGCCATTTGGTCCCTTGTTTTGGGCCTTTGAGCGAGTTCCAGTCGGCGCTGTCATCAGCGTCTTTCTTGGAAATGAGCTTCTTGAGGGCACTCAACAACTCATCTTCCCGAGTCTGGGAAACCTTGACAGATGGTTCTGTCTGAGGTGGGCGTTGAGGAACGGCAGAACGTCGATGGTGAGGAGGAGGTTCACTTCGTGGAACATGATGAGGTGACTCTGGCTCAACGCAGGGGTCATCCGTCCTTTGTTCAGACTCCGGCCATTCACGACCTTCGAAGCCTTCATCTGCAGGTGGGTCGTTCTTTTTGGCTCTTCTCCTTCGGCGTTTTGAGGAATGTGAGGAGCGATCATCACGCTTTGAAGCATGAGGCAAGAACAGCCAAGTTCCATCCTGAGTGAGCTTCTTGGTGGGCCTGGTCGTCTCATAGAACTCCTGACCGCCACACTCGTCACATAGCCAGCGGTAGGCTGACAACTGGTAGTGGTTGTCTGAGTCGCATGCCAGACATCGCCAGGTACACCTCTCTGCATTGGGCTCGTCCTGGGTCGTGGCAAAGTCATGCACGAAGGGCTCGGGTGGATCCTCGGCGAAGTGGGCCGGAGAGAAGGATCTTGACATCTCATCAAACTCATCCCGCAGGTCATATTCAGGGAGGTCATCGGGTTCAAGGTCGTACTCATCATCGGCCTCATGCATCGCAGTCCAAACCGGCATCGCGACGTGCACTAGGCTCCGGTGCCAACTTAACACAGCCGTGCACCTGCCTCAAAGAAGAAATCAAAGTGAAAGCGCTCGACCGCGCTTTTCCATTCAAGGCGCACAAGCGTGAGGTAGAAACGAACAATGGCTGAAGGGCCCTCGAGACGGAACGGCCACGCGACAAGTTGGGTCAACCTGAGTCGATGTCTTGCATGACTTTTTCAGAAGGAATGGCATATCTGGACCAAAACCATTAGTCTGTGAACAGTCACTCGCGACCAAATGTGCTTGAGATTAGACGTAGCAAACCTGCAATGCGTCCAGTCAGGTTTGCGCTTTGTGACAAAATGAGACCAGTAGGCCAGACCTGCCAGACTTGACTGCATGACCTACACACACCACCACCAGTATTTGATCAAAGACCAATCATGTATTCGACACCGTTTTGCTTGGTCCTGGTGACAAATATATATATATATATGCATATACAGTAAATGCAACTAACTGGGGCCATGACACGTTCTCAGCGGCAAATGCCTTCTGAAAAATGCCACCAGGTCGCGATTGATCGTCTTATTCAACCGCAACTCCTGCTCCCGGCTCATTTTGACCTTCCATTCTGGCCAGGCCAAAAACACTTCAGCTGAGGAAGGGGCTCAATGAAAAAGCAAAAACATCCAGCCTCTTTTTGGCGCTTGCAGGCTCCCCAGCACCAGTCCTACAAAGCTAAAACAAGAAGCAAGCCCTTCAGCTCCTTGCGAAAAGGCTGCTCTCATGCTTGCCACCACTTATCGGAATGGGTGATTGGAAAAATGTCGAAAGGAAATGCACCAAATCCCACTACTGTAAATCTTCCGTCCCGGCATCTTCTGCCCCGTGCAAACCACGATTATGCGGAACAAATTGCATAGAGCAAACATCCTGCAACATGGCCTACCAGCCAAGCTCCATACTCCCAACATCTGCCCGGCGATCAATCCTGCTCTTTTTCTTCACCTGCCAGTGCTGGTGGCCGTGTTGTTTCAGAGCAAAAAACTTCTTAGTGCAACTCCCATCGCCTGGAACGGTCGTGCAAATTGCAGCCAAGTAGATCTTATTCTGCTCTGGCTTTCCAGGACCTACACTCGCAAATGGGAGGACTGCAATGACAGTGAGTACTCCATTGCTTTACAGATGCCCTCACTCTTTCATTATGAACATCTGGTCACCACACTTAGGGTCCCAGCAGGTCACCCAGCGTGAGATTGCTGCAGAGTGATCGTCCACAAAGTGCACAAACCTCGTTCCAATGGCGCAACTTGGGCAAGCTTTGGGGAGCACTTGGCAACAGGATCCTCGGCCCGAAGACTTATTATACACAGTGACAAGCTTCTGAAACCAGGACATGGCTCTCCTCGATTTCTACCCCGTTCACTCAGGCTGATGAATGGCTGGAAGAACGATAGGTTCTGCTAATCTTGCGTGAGTCGAGAAGTGAAATAAAACATCGTGGGCCCAAATCTTTTTTGACGAGAAGCGTGTTCCTCACCTGCACTGGAATGTCATGGGAGCCAGGTGCTACCCTCATCCTGCCAGCTGCGGGGGGGGCATCAGTATTATGTAATATATATATATAGTACTTTGCATCTAGTACTTTGCATGGTTTGCTAACACCAGTCCTTTCCATTACCATGGTGCTCCTTCTGAGGGCTGCCTCAGGTGCATGGCAATGAAGTCTGCGATGAATCAATGCAATACTGGTCGTAGGCGTCTGCGACCCAGAGGCCAGTATTACTCATTCCCCTCAAATCTTGTGTCAATGCATATAAGTGCCTTGAAGACAAGCAGCAGAAGTCCGGGATAACTTTCTCCAGCACTGCGACTCCTGAAAGTCAGCCCTCAACTTGCACCTGAACTACTCCTCCAAAGACTACTGTAAGTCACTGATACGATTTCTGTGCGCCAAGCTGAACACAAAAAGGCTCCTTATCTTTGATGACTATGATCTCTATCGTTTTTGTGTGCTTAACTCTTGGCATTCAACTTCACACAAGCTTCATTGCATGTTCACAATTCTTGAGCCTGAAACATGCGCGAACAATAGCAGCATGATGCCGAGGTTACATTAAACAACTGTATGCATCGATGTTTCTTGCATCACCTGGCCCTACAAGAAAGAGTTCTTGACATCATAATTTCTGACTGAAGCGTGTCTCTTCAAGAATGCAGCACCGGCATTGATTCATCCATGCCACACCGATATGTTGTTCAAGCTTCTGTTACAAAACCAGCTGAGGCTACCACGTTGTGGGCACTGCTTTGTTCTTGTGCGCGCCTGTGCCATCAGAACGCCTTGTAAAGAATCGTGCGAACATATGGTCTGATAATCGCACAAGAGGATATGCAGCAGCGGAAGCCACTAAGAAGAAGGGGTGGGATACATGGAGAGACTGAGGAATGGATCCTGGAGAAATAGCGGGCTATAGCACTCAAAAGCATGAAATAGCAAGCACCGCAGCGCTGCCATGTGCTGTCAGCACTTTAGAAGAATGAATTTCCGCTGCACCGCACCAACAACATCCAACAACAATACCATGCTTATATAATATGACACGACACCACAGCCGCATCAGCCAATAGGTATTAGAATCCATCCTTGGCTTGGTGTGACCTTCTGCTTGGCCAGCCGAAAGTCTAAGCCGTGATCGGCATAGGTGGGCCTGAGATCAAACTGACTGTCAGCATCCATCAGTATCGGTCAACAAGTCCTGGGTCGGACACTGAAACCTCCTGGTCTCCAAGTGCTCCTTCCAACAGAAGATGATATCAAATGATGAATGTTGAAAGTCGTTCTGAGGGTGCCATCATGCGCCATCTTGACAGGGAGTGACAAGCCCATCGCCTGCGCATGAACCAAGCCATCTGAGACACGGGTCATCTGCGGTCTCAGCCTCAGTGGCGACCGGGCAATCCACGACGCAGCGGTCCCAGTCAGGGAAAATGGAGGCTTTCGCAACACCGTCAAAACCGGGACCGCTGCGTCGTTGGCTGCTCCCGCACGTAGGAGCAAAATGGCGTGGACCTTGACATGACGTCAGATCTGGCACGCCACAAGCAGCAGCCTAAGCAGCACCTGAATGATCTTTAATTGTTCCAACAGCTAGAGCTCAGGCCACGGAGGGCACAGGTTCGCGACACTTTGCACCTTCAAACCTTGAAACGAGCTGAGGCGAGTATCAAAAGAGCACAGGACGCCAAGATCTATGATCTGTATATATATATATATAGTTTATATTACATTACATGCTTGTTGACATTGTCGTTGATAAGTGCCGGAGGATTAATCTGGCCCAATCAACAGAAAAAGAAAAGGGCCCGGTCAATCAAAACTCCTCTGCGCGGATTGAGGCACCCACGTGCATGCAGATTATTGCCAATATTGTTGGTGCTTCTTCTTACCTGAGAAGCATGCAATGGTTCAATCCCCCCAGCTTGCGCATTCGGTGCGAAAGACCACCCATCTATTCAATTTCATAGCTAACGAAACTCGGAAAGCACTGGAAACCTGCTTGTTTGCCTGCGTGCAACTGTAGAGCCAAACCAAAACTTAGAGAACCAATATATACTTGCCTCTGGAGCTAGGGGTTAAAACTCGTACAGTACGAAGATTTGCAGTGCACCTTCTGTGGCTTTGAGCTGGAAGCACTGCTCGAGCCATCTTTGCCAGGAGGTGTCCTCAGTTCGCCCATCCTAGACAGCTACTTAGGGTGGTCACTTCGTGTCTGGCATTTCAGTTTGGAACCGCTCTGTGCTGCTCGGCCCTTTTTTCTCAAGAGGCTCCCGCTATGCTGAGCGCAAGGAGCCAGTGGCCGCGAGCTCTTGCCCACGCAGCGGCATCGTCGCCATCCATATCGGTGGCCTTGACCGATCAACATTCGCACCCCATAGAACCAAACGTTCAGGCCACTGGTCTATTCCAAACATCCGTCAAGGTCTCCTCACTCTTTGATTGCCAACCCAACATGACTTTGCGCTACAAGTGCAGCATGTAGTAATTTTTGGGGGGGCGCCTCAGCCAGGAGGCGCAAATATTCACGTTGTAGTCATGCGGCCGGTTGGTGTATATTTTATATATATATATATGTATTTATTTATTTACAGTATGTATTTCTTTATTTATTATTCATGGGAGGGGCAGCTGTGTTTCTTAAATGAATAGCCATGAATAATGCATCTAGGCTTTTGCATGAATAATGCGGCGCCGGACAGGAGGCTGTGTTTCTTGATGCGGGTGCTTAACCCCGAGGACCCTGGAGGGAGTTTCGTTTACCGGCGCAAGTGATTTGCAAAGGCTAAGCTGGATGTGAAGATCTACAGCCGCTTGGCCACTTGTGAATTGTCAAGAGTGTTCTGCTTGCACTCCGACCCTGTTAAGAGCCTCCAAGTTGTCAGTGGAAAAAGGAAAAAGGAACGACAGAACAACCACATCTGACAAGGCTCTGAAGGATCTGCACCGGCATGGAGCAGTAAATCACAGACTTCTTCATCTCCAGCATCAGCAGCAAACATCAGTGCGGTGGCACCCTGGGAAGTTGGCAAATTCACCTGAGAGCTTGCTGGTCATGCATGGGGTTGAGGTCTTGAAAACCTTGAAGATTGAGCCCTGTCCGAGATCCAACTTCTCTGCTCCTTTGAAGGACAAGCGACTGGAGCGCGCTCGAGCAACTCGCCGAGTAGGGCAAGAGCTGGTCCTTGCACATGCTGGTAAGCAATTTTCTCCCGGACCACTGGCGACCAGGTCCCCACCCTTCCGTGCAATACAACATCAAAACGTTCACACACATTTGCAAGTTGGTCAACTCTGCTGTCTTTTCTAGTGGCCTCTGACTTGAGAGGCGCCAGCGTGGCAGCAGTCACAGCCGACCTTTGGCTCCTGCAATGTAACATGACACCTTTACTGCAAAACTGTGGATTGCACACAGCTCTCAAGGTCTGATCAATTCATTTAGCAGCTCCTCCGCTTTTGACTTCAAGTG